GGCGGTTTACAAAGCAGTTAAAATCCATTAAAATTACAATATGCAATAATCTTAAATAAATAGAGAATAAATAGATCCGAGGATAGATGTTAAAATCGGCAGTCACTCGGGGAGCATCATCAAGGCGCCAGACACCCCCAGGATTGGGTAAGATTGTTGTCACCCCACGCAAGCTGGCAGAGCCAGGTCTTTAATCCTTTCTGGAAAGCCGGGAGGGCAGGGGCCTGCTGCATCTCTGGGGGGGAGAATATGCCAAAGGGCGGGGGCAACGGCAGAGAAGTTGCCCCAGAGATCCAAGTCCCTTCAGTTTCATAGTTGCCCCAGAGATCCAAGTCCCTACCAGTTTTGGCTAGTTTCCTAGGGGTGTCCTTGGCAAAGAAGAACAAGGTATGGAAAGCCCTGCCCCACAGTGACATCACTCTGCAAGCCTGTCCTTTAAGTGTCATGACACTGATGCAGGGTGGGGCTTGCATTATTCAGCTGCCACCAAAGGACATCTTGCTTGCTTGCTTGCTGGCAAAAAAAAGGCCAGGTAGTTCAACTGGCCTGTTTTTGGCTGGCAAGGATTTAAAAAAAAAATTCTGGGAATCAAGGATCTCTTTTCTACATCTCTCTGTCTCTCTCTCATTATCTGTCTCCAAAAAAAAATTCTGGGAATCAAGGGACAACATGTCAGGGGCAGCCTGCCCCAGGAATCTACAGCCTAGTAATCTCGTGGTGGATTACTAATCTAGATGAGGCACAGGGCTTCTCCTGAAAAGATCCAGGAGCTTCCAGCAGAATTTCTCTGCTAGATAAGGGAGAGGTGAACACATTTTAGGCCAAAGGCACCATTGAAAGAAGGATGAGAAAGGCTACCTTCAAAAGAGGGGAAGACAAAAAAAAGTTCTTTGGGGAGGAAATGGTTCTTTTGGGGCAGTGTTTTCAAGCTTGGCAAGTTTAAGAGGGGTGGACTTCAACTCCCAGAATTCCCCAGCCAGGATGTGTGGACTTCAATTCCTAGAATTCTGGTTGCTGGGGGATTCTGGGAGTCTTAAACTTGCCAAGATTGAAAAACACTGGTTTAGAAAAAGTGGGTGGACTTGACATGTCCTAAAATTTTTAGTTTACCTTCCCCATACCCTAGGGCAGTGTTTCTTAACCTTGGAACTTTCAGATGGGTGGACTTCAACTCCCA